CAATAACATGAAAATTACCCAATTAAAGCTTGGAAATGTCTCAGTTCGTACTCGTTGATCTGCGCAACAGTCAAAGTCGCCATCTGTGTTTATATGAGACCCATTTATCTCGCACATGCGCATCGCGACGACTACCGCGCTTTAACCAACTAAATAAAGAACGGTTTAGTTAAAATTGGAATTATATTGTTACGTAAGCCAAGTCTGAAATCCACCAATAATATGAATAATTTGTATCAGACTAGTAATCAATCTGTCTTACAAGGTAGCAAAAACTATATATCGAGCACTATCCGGAAGTACCGGAGATATACTATAGGTTTGCTCTCTTCTGACATTGAAAACATCATTGGCGACAAATAATATAATTACGATAATTAATTTGGATAATTGACAACTTGAAGATAATTCGCTAACGCTCGCTCACGTAATGGCTCGTTCCAGTTAGTATTTGCGCTTTCCAGTTAACATTAAACAGAAAAATGCAAATAAATATTTAAAGATAGTCAAAACACTGGCTCAATTTAGAATCGGTTGACACAAGCTAGCGCGGACCGATATCCACAACCCAAAACACCACAGTATGAACTCAATGTAAAATGTCAGTGATTATGAACAGACTTATGTGCACTGACGCAAAGAAGGGGGACGATTTTAAACATTGCTATACATAACATAACATAAATTAAGAATTCAAAGGGGCGTTGAGGAAAGACCAAATAGTTCAAATTATTTCTTATTGGCAGTATTTCGAATAAACTTCTATATTCTAACTTCTGCCGTATGTGATGGGGCTAACCTCTCTGTAGTGTACATATACAAAAATTATTACAAAAAACAGCAACAAATTTCTGTGCTTAGAGATACAAACTACATTTAGTATTAATTAGATTAGTATAATATTAGCTTATTTGACATATTATGTACCAAGCTAGAAATGTACGGTTGTTTTAGAAGTTCTATCTAATCTTATCTTCAGGATCTTATCTGAATACTATAATATCATGTTGGCGCGGTCACTGATTCTGTAACGTGTTAAAATGCAATCTGTGTTTCACCCTGACAAATCAAAATAATATTAAATATGAGAGAAAAAAAAATATCGCCTAGTTTTAGTAGAAAGATTTAAATTGTAAAAAAATGTTTTAATTGGTATCTTGTATTGTGTTGTATAATGCCTGGGCGATAAGACGTCGGGATTGTATTGCCACTGTATATATGTCAAGCGTGACTTGTTGTGTTCTGACATTCACAAATTTCAGTTGCTAGTTCAGAACATGGAGCTAAACAAGATCTTGTTTAACTCCAATGTTCAGATACCACTCTAAACAGTGCGGTAAATCTTTGTGATCAAAGTATTATGTAATATATAATGCATAATCCAGTAAACCTACGGTTGTCTTTGTTTAACTCGCTGGGTCAAACCATTTTAATGTAGGGTTCGTAAAGTTATGAATGTCGAGCCTGCTAGAAATGCAATTGGTTGTGCCCGCATTTTAAAACATCGTCACAAATGCTACATATGTTGATAGCTGTTACGTGTTATATCATAGTCCAAGTATATATTGCAACATTTTATCGAACCCCCGCGATATTTGGACTCAACCACTCGACCGGAACTTCTCCATTGGTCTCTTCAGTGGTTTATGTATCTTGAGGTGGAAAGAAACTAACATGGCCGCTTGTGCGCTCCACAACGGGGAAATGAGTCCCCACTCGCCAGAGTTGAACGAACTCCTACGTAAACTCGAGCTTGGAGTTGTTATGACCAAATTTTTCCCAAAGAAACGGCCCGAAAAAAGGACTTTTCAAGTGAAACTAGAAACGAGGCAGATTATTTGGAGCCGAGTGCTAGGAAGGGCAGAAGGGGCGGGTAAGTGTCACACAATTGCTGTAAAGGTGCATCTAGTCAGGCATGGCTACTTGGAGAGTACTTGATGATCATTTTCAATCCTAAAGGGACAACGACTTAAGTTGAACATCCCTTCGACTGTTTTCCACCCAACCATTGTTAGTTTCCTTTCATATGATCACAGCGCCGTTGAAGTCCTGTCACGGGGTCACATTAATTCGTGACCTGAAATGATTTTTTGTTTTTACTTCCTGCTTCTCGACTTGACCGCAGTTCAAATCTGAGATTTCAATTCGCACACGTCGATCAAGCCCAGTCTGTGTTCATTGGTAATTGATCCAAGTACATTATTCCACTGTATTGCAGTTATTTTGAGTAGCACTGCAGTTGAGTAGAGTATTGATGAAAAATAATTCAAGGATCGCATATACCAAAAAAGGCAGGGTTATCCTCGGACCAGTAAAAAGGGTTATCTAATTAAAACTAAATGTCCGTGTGATATCAAGAACTCAACAATAAAACAAATATTTTTCTGATGATACTCGTTTTCTATCAAATTAACACGACAGATGCCAATCATGTGCAACAAAATTAGTTTAAATTTATATATATAGCATATCTCCAACCAAAAGTAATTTTTTTTTTATTTCATCCTCACTTTATTGTAATTTAACTCAAGAAACTATATACGATATCAATAAAGTTTATTATTATTAATATTAATATAAAACATGGAACAGCAGAGTTTTTGTTCGCCAGTACTAGTGAGGCTAGCTTCATTGTGACACTAGGGCTCTCAAAATTAAAACAAATTTGTTGGAGATTGACTGGGCTACCAATTCCAAAAGCTGATGGCCAGACATTTTGTTGGTTAGTGCATCAGTTGTGAATACATTGAAATAACCAACTCACTTAGTATAAGGCGGTCCATACATTTGTGGGTATATCAGTTGAGAGGCATTTCTACTTATTTCTAACAGTCATGTTATGTTATTGTAGAATACTTTATTTTCACTCAGAATTTATTTTTGCTATTTTCGCTGAAGGATATTCAGTGAAACTAAAATCCTGCAGATATATCTTTTTCCTATATTTTACATTCAACTCATCGAAAATCAGTGAAAATAAACCCCATAAAAAACACCCAAAAAGTGATAAAGTATTTTACAATACTACCGGTACTTTTGGGTAGTCTCTATACCTTGGACCACTGCCCTTGACTGATTTATCATTGTGTCATTATGTCATTTCCAAGTTATTATGTTTGTGAGTTATACTGATCGAAACCAGGTATATTGCATGATTTATTGACTGTGTTGTTTATTGCCTTCACTACAATAAGTTGCTGTTCGATTTTTGCTTCACGTACATGCTAAATACAACTAACATAGGTAGTAATATTAGTTCTATTTTTGAATCATAATACTAATATTTCCAAAAGTTGTGACATTTAATTTTGTGAATTTCCAAATAAAATAATAACAAACCTTATATTGATTCAATGTGAATATCTCCCATATGACTGAACAGAAAAACATCTTCTATTAAAATATATCTCTTAGTCCTAACAATAATTTAACGATTGATTTTAGCTGCACATTCACTTAAATTAACAGCAATTTTTACCCACCAAAATTGAAATAATCGCCAAATTGTGACTTTTCTAGAATAGTAAATTAATCATTGATTCATGGAAAAGAAAAATTGTTTTTGTTCAACAAGTTTTTGAGATATTTTCAAAGGTTCATTTAAAGACATGTGCTGCCTGAATGGCGGCAAGATGGTATCATGTCCTCTAGCAGTATGTAGCGCAAAGCAATATATAATGTACCACAAAGATGTTTTTTTTCGGCTTGACTGGCAGGTTTTCGTATGTATGTTCCAACTTTTAGCTAGCTTAGCTTGCTTTAACCTTTTCACCGCCAGTTCCCTCTTTTCAACTAATATTCACGAAATAGTCCTGTTTGTAGTCTGCACTTTCCTTTAGAAGATTGGGACAAAAATAGCAAAATGTTTGAGTAAAACTGAAAATTGACTCAAATTTTGTTTGCCTGCTCCAAAATTAGGGTTCATTCCCAAAAATATTGAAGAATGTAGGAAAAAAATGCTAACAAATTTGGGCGAAAAAGTCTGGTGGTGAAAAGGTTTAAAAACTGCTACATATCTAAATAATCTGCATAAATATGTATTATATTAGTAACACTAGTAAATACTACAAAGACTAAGTTGAAATTATTGATGACATTGATAGTCACTTTAAATTTAAAGCATTAAAGTTGAGTTATGCCAGGACTACATGTATACTGTTTTTTTTTACCTGTTGTAATAGCTTACTTCAGGAGTTCACAACATGGTGGGTCAAACAAATCGGTCAAGTGACTAAACACAATAACCAGACATGCTGGGATGACGTCAGAAAGATATTGATCTACCTCAATAGCATTTATCACGATTACAAGATCTCACTAAAAATAGAAATCTCTTAATCATAGAACGTGGCACAGTGCGTGAAACAGATCAAATGATGACAATCTGAGCGGATGATAAAAACATTTCCAACATTTCAGTGATTTGTTATGAATACCGAGGTTATTGCTTGTTGTACAAAGCAAAGCGTACTTTCGCTATTTTATTTTTTGTTTACTCATTTGTTTGTCCGAATCGAACGAACATTCATAACTTATCGCATGACGTAAAGCTCAGAGACGTAATTCAAAACAAATGCTGTATCTGTTAAACATTTCCTAATTCTGCCGTGTATGGTGCACTTCACTGGTATGTGAAATTGCCAAAAAATGTGGGACACGCACCTTTCAAACTGACATGTGTGATGATAATAGGCAAATATCTGAGGCTCAGTAACATAAACAAAACATGAATTAAGTGCAGATTCGCTTAAACCAGCAATTATTGTTTTCTCGATTATACCGTAGGACAATATTGTTCACATAGTTTCCCAGGCATTATTTTACATATGATAGTTTGTCTGTAATTGTAACTTAAATCAGAATCTAGTACATGTGAAAAAAAAACTTATGTAAGATTAAGCTTATAAAAATCCACTGGTCTAACAACTTTCAGTCCTAAGCCGCTTATACATGTGTAATAAAATTAAAGGTCATGTCATGTGACCCACCTGTTAGATAATTCTTATTGTCTTCATGATTGGTCCCTCAAATGATTCTAAATGTAGGTTCAAACCTTGTTTACGTAATCTTTGAAAATGACTCAATTTAACATCAAGTAACACTGCTACCATAGGATGATTAGTTTTTACTTTGGTACGAGGAACCAAATGACACCACAACTATATATAACCCTGGGACATGTGTGACAATGACTAACACTAAACCAAAAATTTAGCCCTCCATTCTAAAGGTACTGTAAATCACTATAAGGTGACATAATTGCAGTGCTGCGCCGTCTTTCTGGTATGGCATGTATGTATACAGCGTGTGTAAATACTTTGTTTACTTGTACATGAGATTCGAACACGCGTTACATGACGACTGTGGTACTTTAAAGACCAGTGGTGACTCTGATGTCTGATGTGTTGTGTGTAAAATGTGTACAAAATATACATTGTTCACAACAAATTTGGCCTTGCAACGACTATGGTACTTGTGATTTTACGTACTTGAGTCGCAAAGTGCATTCAGGAAATTCATAACATTTTTAATGGGCTTTTTCTTTAGGCAGGGAGTTGCGGTGATCCTCAGGAGGAAGTGAAATAAAAATATCAATGCCCTCTAACTTTAAATTAGAAGTTAAATTTTATTTTCTAGTTATTTTTTTTATCTTTACGTGACTGAAAATATTTTTTTCATTTTTATTATTTGAATTATGTAGTAAAATCTGGGCGTCATTTGAATTTCATCCAACTGTTGTTTTGATTTGACCAGAATTCAATTATTTAATACTGGTAACCCATTAACTGATTGGTTCTAGATAAATATGCTGGGTTGCCTAAGTGATCATTGCTTTTTGGTGACATCTTGAATGAACAGGAAGGAAATGAAAAAGTAAACAGTTAAAATCTCTAAAAATATACCTAATAAACTGTATTATAATAATAAAAGTATTATGTCTATTTTGTCTGATATATATTATAATAAAAATGTGTAAATTATATTTATTCAAAAGTTTAATGTAATTTGTTACAATGTTCATGTAATTATACATGTTACATTGTACATGTAATTATACACATTACATTGTTCATGCCATTATACACGTTACATCGTTACGTACTTGTAATTATACATGTAATTTCACACATTACATTGTACATGTAATTATACCCATTACATTGTACATGTAAACATACCCGTTACATTGTACATGTAATTATACACATTACATTGTATGTGTAGTTATACCCATTACATTGTACATGTAATTATACATGTTACATTGTACATGTAGTTATACCCATTAAATTGCTCATATAATTATACATGTTATATTGTTACATACTTGTAATTATACATGGAATTACACACATTACATAACTGTACATGTAATTATACCCATTACATTGTACATGTAATTATACCCATTACATTGTACATGTAATCATACCCATTACATTGTACATGTAATTATACATTTTACATTGTACATGTAATTATACATGTTACATTGTACATGTAGTTATACCCATTACATTGTACATGTAATCATACCCATTACATTGTACATGTAATTATACATGTTACATTGTATGTGTAGTTATACCCATTACATTGTACATGTAATTATACATGTTACATTGTACATGTAGTTATACCCATTAAATTGCTCATATAATTATACATGTTATATTGTTACGTACCTGTAATTATACATGGAATTATACACATTACATAATTGTACATGTAATTATACCCATTACATTGTACATGTAATTATACACTTTACATTGTGCATGTAATTATACATGTTACATTGTACATGTAATTACACCCATTACATTGTACATGTATTACACACATTACATTGTACATGTAGTTATACCCATT